TATATGTACGCTGGAGACATCACACCCATTGCACCGAGCTAAAGCACAACTCCACTTCGACAAGAGTCAAGCGTTGGCTGACGGACCAGTTTTTTTCTTCATATTCATTGAAAATCCATTCAAACGAACTGAATGACGGCATACACGAAAGCGTTCGGACCGATTTTTCTTCCAGGAAGGAATCGTAAAATAAGTAGAAGATCCCATGACAGAATAGATACAATTTTGCGCTCTCCGGATGCAATTGCATGATTGACTTGGCAACGACGGGACGAGATTGACATGCCATAATTCTAAGTTATGGAGAGGAGGGGATAAATAAAACGAAGTGTGCTAAGTCGTGTGCGGGAAAACGAAATGCGGTGGCGATAACAGAAAGCAAATATAACGATGATTGTAAAACAATAGTGTTGGTGACTGATCTGATGACAAGGGCTAGTAAGCGACGATGAAGTTGCGATGAAGTGAAAGATGGGAGGGCTCACGGAGTGCAAAGGTTGCTCGTTACTTGAAAGGACATCCCGGAGCATGAGCGCCCCTCCACCCGCAATGGCAGCATTGAGGCTCGCTGGTTCCACGGGCTTGCACATGTATAGTCAGGGCTGGTCTCGCATGCGAAGTATTGTGTCCCGAGATTAGGACAGAGGATGATGAAGCACACATGGTAATTTGTAGAGTGCGAGAGAACGATATCGGTGCAAGTTTCAACTGGGGAAATCAACTGAAGGAAGGTCGTCTGCCTTTTTATCAGTTCCAGTTATACCTTTCTTTTACTCAGGAGACACCCAGCTGACAGACTATACATATCGGGAAGAATCGTGTCGAGATCTTCACGCTGATTTCCCAAATCGGTTTAAGAAGTTAGATAATCTGAGAAGGACATTCGAATTGGTTACTAGACCTTTCTTGGACGATTCCCTTCTCATCACATCAGGCCGGTGAACACTTCGTACAACTTCGATCGCCTCACAGCTCTGCTGTCCCTGCATTGGACCGTCTTCGGATCATGTACGAAATCTGGATTTGAATAGTATTGGGGGCTAGCAGTCCTGAATGTAATATTGGCGAGACGACACAAATAGGTGAATGATTTTACAGTCAGAAATATCTGTCAATCACGCACTATCGCATAATACCCTCTACTGTGGGTTATCGCAGAGGTCGGGCTTTCAATAGCTTGTACAATAATATGTCCCGAGGCTCTGGTGAGCTGCGAACAGAGAATTTCATGTCGTTACCCAGTTGGCCGCGGCCTAGTAAGGGAATATGAAAGGCCTTAGTCCTATCGGCTGGTGGCGTTAGCCTTAGGCGGTCAGCTGAAGATCTCCACAGAGAAAATTAGCGTCATGAGAGAAGCACCAGTAAGATGTGAACGTCTGTATTCAACGTTAAATAACAGTGATTGGCCAATGATCGCTCCTGTTACCTCACGTGCAGTGCAAAATGCACTGCCACAATATGACTCGCTTTTGGACTACAACGTAACGTCGCCTGCGCAATGCTGGGGCAAATGAAATGATGCGTAATGCTATTGGACGAACAGCCCCTTGATTTGAGTTAAAGCTTTTCATTCGTTGGAACGGTGCCCTTATGTGACTGGGAAATTCGTCTCGTCGCGGTTGGAAATATTATCAAAGGATGGTATCGACCTGTCCCGCCTGTCGAAGAACTTCTCAGATACAATCATGCCATCACTTCGTTCATAGGCCGCACTCTTATCTCTATAAGCAATATCATCTAATACTGCAAATACCGCTCTGCGTTGGACGGGCGTTGGTTTTTAATTTTGTACTGCAAATGAACCGCGCTGATAGTTGTGTGATCTTCGTACTTGTCCTTCTTCGTCGCTCTGTAACACGTTTCACGGCGCAATACAGATCTGCACTTGAAGCTCATCTTGATTTGATGCCATCTTTTTGTTTCTGGACAGTATGACGTCCATTCGGTGAGTCTCAGGGATGCATGTGAGCACGAGGTTACTCAGATGAATGCTGTGATGGTGACGTCCCCGTTTGTGGTTGAAAGCTCCACCAATCGGAATAACTCTTTCTTGAACAATTTACCGGCAATAACAAGGCCAATCAGGTGAAACCTTAGGACGAATGGGATTTCTCTCCTGATGCATCGCGACCTCGTGCGTGTTCTTTTAAAAATCCTTGGAGATCATTCCTTTATTGGGGAGAACAGATTGCATACGAGGCGCTCGCACTGTCTAGTTTCAGCCACCAGGATGTCAGCGATGTGGAAGGTCTCCTATGTACTCGCTCATTTTATTTCTATTCTAAAGCTGAAATTTTAATTGGAGACATTCGTCTTTTCTTCCTTCGTTATGTGTATCCATGGTTAACTCGACCATTTTTCACCGTGTAAGTTCCCTAAATTTGTCGACCATCGATCCGTGCTGACGCAGTTACATACGAAGGAACTTGCACAGCTTACATTGTTTCTATTGTGCCTAGACGACATTTGACGACGCTCATCATAGACTCATACTAGTACATTCTCCGGATAGGAGTTTACAACCACCATATGTTATACTAGAAGGCAAGAGCAGGGTAGATTGTGGCGGAAATGGTCGGCGTTCGTCGTTTTGCATCTACACGGCCCTAAAGAACTCACTACTTATCCTTTTTCAGCTATTAGTATGGTCCAAAACCGACTGGACCCCTGACGGCACGGGTACAGACCCGTACGATGACTATATGGTGACGGTGCGAAGTCCTAATCGCGGGGCCGTTTCTCAAACGAAGTAGGCGGTAAAGATCAGTGGCAAACGCCACATGGGGACTAACTACACAGTATGCAGCCGTATATACAACCAAATCTCCGCGGACCTGAGCAACACGTAAATAACAAAATACTCAATAACGGCTAACTGTCAGTGCTATGAGAAGCTCAAATATCCGACATGACCGAGTTCTGTAAAACCGCCGATGTACCAGAGGCCATAGCCAATTGAAGTGGTCGGGTTCGTCCATGCTCCCTAGAAATTTCAGAAAAGTAGTCTTAACTCGAATAACGCTCTTGCCAACACCTTCTCCACCCCAGCCTGGTCCAACATCTTGACGTACCCTTTCTGGTTCATGACTCGACTCGCCTTTCATGTTCTATGTAGAGGATCTCGTGCCTTTACCGTCCCGGAAGAGTGGTCGTCTTTAACAAAATGCGGCGCATAACCCCCCGAACCCACGATTGTACGGACTACTTATTCACTTCCCTCCGTGAGTTCGTTCACAAATACTAAATGCGGCTGTTCTTCCGTCTCGAGATGGGCTAGCAGCGAGGTGACACAGAACCCAACCCTTCGCTCCTGATCTTTGCAGGCGCGCGCTTCTTGGTGCGGGCTCGTGATTCCCAAGGCTTGCCCGAGGTCCAATGACCTGATCACAGAAGAGCAGGTTTATCAGCAATCCCGAGGAAGTCGAACGTCGTTATACCTGGGAAAAGTGGGCAAGAAAATTCTTCAATACCAGTAATATCGGAGACCGAGCCGAAGCTATGAAATAGAGCATTTCTCCCAGCTCTCAAATTAGTCGGAGACTTTGTAGATCTGTCTGGCATCCATAGAACGTGCCGATCATCATCACATTGCGCATGCCGCTGACTTGATAATGGGGCTCACTGTCAGATGCTTTCATTCAGAAATAGAGCCTTCAATTAAGTACCCGATGGAAAGGCGCGTCCCCTCAGGGAATTCGCGGGTGTTCCGCGTAGATTCCGACCATCGAGAGTAAGACTTTGTAATCTATGCTGGATTACCACGGGTGCGTTGGCTAGATGGGGAAATGCTACCCTACCGGAAACCAGAAAAACTTTTACATACTTGCGTCAAAACCGTCATGTGATCGTCCCAATTCCACCTTTGTACAAAACCCGTACGCCAAGTCCGTTTATTCTCGTCCGTGTGATCAACATACCAAAAAAATCACAAGTCGCGGATTTTCACGAAGGCCCATAATTCAGTAGTGTTGACATAATACGAAGGTGTCTCCTGCGTTTAAATATCCTCTTTCGGTCCTATTCAATGGTTCCATGTGGACCCGGCTATCCGTGCGAATATTAGCCTGGAGACCCAATCAGAGCCATATGGCCCGGTACTCTACTGACGGACTTACATCGCGGGCGTTCATACCCCAAACGGGTAACGAGGTATGGTTCTTAATCTCCCCCTTCTCCGCTGATCACCTTTCTCTTCTAAGAAAAGCGCAGCTTCCTTCTCCCGCGATAGTGAGTGTGGGAGGGTTAAGTATATCCATTTGTTCCCGGATGTCCGAGGACTTTGGAAACCTTGATGATGCCCAGCACAAGTCCGAATGACTATCTTAGAGTTTGCGCGTGGTCTTTACTACATGTAGTTAGAAGCCGGAGTGCTTGATTGACCGTAGTAATGCCTCAACCGTCTACGCTACTCCAGACCATAACCTCCTGTACCGCATTTATTACTGACATGCTGTCAGTGTTAGTGATTAGGGAAGCCTGAAGTAGTTTCGATTGTGATTGATAGCAGATGAATATGGTCTCTGTCATAGATGATACGAGAAAATACCCGATGTACATCAACATGCATATTCCCAAGGGAACCGCGCCCGTGTCTGGTGCCCTGTGTAAGCTTTATTATCCCATGTAAGTATTCGGCAGTCTAGTACCGTCGATAGCGTCCGAGTCGCTACGCTCTCATGTAATCAAAGGCTGTCATGGAAAAATAGTCTCGTAGCCCCCGGGCTGCGTCTCTGTAGACGTACATGTAATCATCAATCAGCCAGCTACCTCCATTGCGTAGCGAGACATAGTAATACCGCGCTAGCACCCAGAACTTATCGAATCTCATGGTAGTCATGAAGCTAGCCTGACAGATAGGAACATAAAGTCAGGACACATAACAGAACACGCAGAATAAAAATGTATTATGGCGCGCTCGCCGCTAAGCCGCCAAGCGCTTGGAACGTTTCGAAATTCGCGGTCTAGGAGAATTCAAAAAGCTCTAATTCAATATATGAAAGTGCATTAGCGGGGAATCAAACCCCGAACGCGGCCATAAATCATTCGGTTAGAAAATAATGGGAAGACCACATGTTAACCATTACACCACTAATGCATAAAGTATTGTCAGATATGTACTCATCAGAACATCTTGATCTTGTGAACGTCAGTGAAAAATGGAGGAAAGGACGGCTACTCCAAGCAGCCATAATCGTGTCCAACATACGAAGGGAAAGCGTCAACAACACCCTGAGATTGCACCACCGGAACCTGCGTTGTCGAAGTATTTAAAGGGAAAACACACGTTCATGCGCTTACCCTGGGGTTGACCATGGGACGTACATCGACTGCGGACGTGTACGTTTCCGTGAATAGTTCCATGTCAGTGACTACGAATTGCACCCGCTTTATAAAGTCATCAGTTAGCGGGCAAATCACATTTAGCCTTGCGTCTGACCGGACCAATACAAGTGGTGGCCAGATAGCAGCTACGTGGAATAGCGAGAACAATAATATTGCCAAGCGGACCAACCGAGTCAAACGGTGCGTCGAGTGAACCACTTCGGTTGATATGTCTGGGTGGACCATCCCATAGTTTCGCTAGGCATCGTTGAGTCACAACCCGGCTTTGGGACTGGTATTCATGTGGCAAGCTTGGTCTTACGTGGGGTACAGGATACGGATACAATATAGGATTGAGATTTAGTGGGTCGATCACAGATACTACTAGGCGTCGTTCGTCAGTGATGTGTACAGAGACATCATGAGTCAATGATGCTCACCCTTCGCAAAAATATGCAATCGAGAAACTATGGATTATTGTTAGGATTAGCAGTAGCCATGAGAGGAAGAATGGGGACCTCGATCAATGGGAAAGATTGTACGTTCCTTCGGTACTCCTAGGGAGTAAGCTATGTCTACCGTCAGCGAAAAAAGGAAGGATAACGACTCGCCCTCACCTTGCCGTTACACCGTATCCGGCAGCTCAGCGAGGCACTTCCTCACCCTCTCCAGCACCTCCAACCTATCATACACCAACCGACTACATCCCGGACATTTCTCCGATAGACAAGTCTCCATCTCTGGCCACTCCTCTATCTCCAACGAACATAACCTATCCCCGGACGGCCTCGCGTCCATTTCCCAGAACATCTTCCACACCAGCGCCGTCCACGCTGACCCGTCGACCGAGTGACCACACTTCGTGCACGTTGCGTCGCACTCCATACCCACACGAAAATCATCTCGCCGCTTCCGGTGAAACTTGAATAGCTTCACCAGAGAGCGCGTTGATATCCGCCGTAGCGCTTCTTGATGCTGCTCCTCGTGGAGGGATAAGCTCAGCGTATGCTTCGATGCAAGCTCCGTTTCCTCTTCCCACCCGAACCTCGTCGCTATCGCATACACCCGGAGCGGTTCTCGTAGGAAAATGGGCGCAGTGATTGATGCGCGTACGATGCCCAAAGCACCTCTTGCTCCCCAAGTCTCAGCGAGACCAAGCACACCCTCAAGGTCATCAAATGTGCGCCAAGGTGGGATCGCAAGACCGCTGATGATTCGCAGCAGCCGTTCGAGGACAACATCATGTTCGTGGATGGGAATGGGCTTGCTATTTGGTTCGAACGTGAAAGACTGTGACGCGAAAAACGTGGTGGTCCTTTGCAAGACTGACGATGGGAGACGGTATAGGGTGCCGTCGAGCGAGGATAAGACTGCATCGGCATCTGGGGTGTTGAACGAAGGATGATATGTCGCTGCGAGTTCTTGGGACACCATCGTGGAAGTAATGAAGGAAGAAGAGTGATGGCCTGGTGACGGTGCAGGGTGGGCATGTGTTGATGGACTCGTTGCCGCATGCTCGTGCCGGTAATCCGAGTCGCATTAACATGAACAGAGGCCGCCGTTGGTGAGATGTTCGTGGAGCTGAATGCTGCCTAGCATGTCCTATCACTAGAATTGTAGGGATAGAACAGTATGAGTGAGCGAAATGTAACGCACCGGAACACGAGCGTCCCTAGCAGAGGCGATACATCAGAGCCTCAGATCATCGGATCCGGTGTCGGACAAGGTAAGTATCAATCGATGTCGATATTAGGTCTCTTGTATCCCGATTCCATGAACTATCGGAGAGTCGAGTAATGTTTATCAAGCCGGCATCAATACGTCGTCGACCGGGTATACGCTGCGCTTGCAACGTCCCGTCACGGAGAGGCTAACTCTGCTCTGACGATTCTTCTTCTTCATTGTGATACGAGCCAGTCATCGATGGACTCGATGAACACATGGTTACACTGTCAAATAGATCAGGAAATGGAATATAACGGCAGGACATGCCGCGTACCTTTCTACCCTCACATGCAACACACGGCTATTCCAGGTAAGTCGCAACTCGCCGCTGCAGACATTGAGTTTTCATCCGTTTTATTCCTTCAATGATGTATATGAGGGTAGCGACACTAGATCCAGAGCGCTGATAGACGTAATGAGAGACGGAGGGAAGGATACACCGATGCCTTTACCTTGAGAAAACCGCGTCGATACCGCCAGTGAGAAAGAGCCGCCGAGCACAGCACAAAAAAATTGCTGTAATTTTTAATGAATTTGAGCACTCATAGGCGGCTGGAAAAAAGCAGCCCCACCTTTCGCGCTTCATCACTTCGTTGTCAGGTCAGTTCTTGACGTCGTTTCTCTTCCAAAGGCAATCATTCGGCAGAGAATACGAGGGAAGTGTCCTGTAGAAGCGCATATAATAGGGTTCGACAACGGGAAAGAGCAAGAAAAGGGGTCGACGGTCATTGTCGGCGGTCACAAACAAAGGAGCCGTGGGAAAATACTGGTTACGTCGTTATAATATGAATTCGGTCCTCGGGCCGACTTCTGATTACGCTTTCTCGTTTTCACACGATCGACCCTTATTACTAACATTGTATCTTCTCGACCGCTATCCTGTCAAATATTGCCTGAATAAAAATCTGAATCCTACACGTAAAAAAAATAACGTAGTACTGACAACGGTGAACTTGTGCCTAAGTGTAATTCATACGGGTGGATAATCTGTAGATATAAAAAATTGCCATTCAAGATGCAGTGTAAGTCATTAGCAGGGAACTGAACCCTTACGCAACAAAGGATAGAAACCGTGTTGCCGTTACGCGACTGATGCATACTGAAAGAAAATAGTCCCCACATAGTTCTTAGGGTTAGCCCTAAGAAAGTGTACGTAGCTCTTCCCTCTTGCAATACGCTCCCCCGCCCGAGCGAACTATTCCGTAACATCGAGCGTTAACATCTACCTCTCCTCATTACATACTCCATGTATCTTATTATAAGTGCATTCTTTATTCCTTTACTGCGCATGCCCTCAAATCGTACGGGGGCATTGCTACTACTGCACCCCATACGTAATAAATCCTTCATCGCACAAATCCCTCCAACGCGCAGCCACACCAGGATTGAGTCCCACAGGTATGGAAAGCGGTACAGACAGACGAAGCGTCTGCAAGGCTGCACCTTTGCTTGCACCTGGTCTCCGAGACTGCACCATGTCAACAAAAGCGGGCGACAAATACGGTACCACATTGATAAACCGGAAAACCAGCGAGGTGAGTCTCGGAACAACGTCGGGGTTGATATTCGCGTTCAGCCCAAGTAATAGCCCCTCATTTTGCGGGTTGCCTCCGTAAACAAACCGACAGGATACCCATAAAGGATCAAGCGATGTCGTTGTTTTGAGAAGACTGATCAAATCAGCTTGTGCTTCGGAAGAAATGGCGAATGGAGTATCAAATGAAAGAGACTTCAAGCCGCCCGCCGTCGAGCCTATCAGGGAAGTAGGAACCCGAATGAATGTATGCGCATATGCCATCCTCAATGACTTCAGAGCAGGAAATTCAAAATGTGAAAGAACATTGATGATGCCTCCAGGTGAATCCACCGATCCTTCAACTTCGTATACATGAAGGGTGTGAAGGCGTCGGTGTGACGAGGGGAGAAATATCCCCAGTTCAGGATCCAAATCACATTGCATGGAAGCGATCTCCATATTCGGCGCGCGATTCAAAATATCGATATATCCGCCCGTGAAATCGTTGCCAGCATAGTCGGTAAGCTGAGAACACGGAAGACTCATGCGTCTAGTGCCTTTGTTTGCTCCCCTGAGAGAAAAACCGCAAAGTAGTGGAGCGTACTCGAAGGCGTCAAATATGGGCTTTGTTAACTCCGCAAAGAAATTCGGTTGAGGTAGGACAGGAACGTCCCCAATGAACGTGACGGAGAGACGATCCAGGCGGTGAAGGGTCCCTCTAGTGGCGGAGAAGGCATGGAGGGATCTGTATGGAATGGATAGCGAAACACTAGTAGTCCACCGTGGCGCATTCAGGAGAAGAACAGGTATCAAATTATTCCTTGAAATATCCCTCTTGCAGTGCAAGGAGATGACAACGTCGTGATTCGCAGAACGCTGAAGATACATCTGAAGGAGATATTGACATGCTATCTCGTCCTGATACAAGTCAAAGTCCAGCTTTATGGATGACCAAAGCTGAGAAGTCGACAATGCGGTGACCCTCCAATCTCTGCATACCTGTGAGAGAATCAATGGAGCAAAGGTTTTGTCCAGCATATCCTTTCCATCCCTTGTGTCCATCCTGAAGGACGTCAAGAAGATTTCGCGTACGATGTCATCCGGAATCCTGCGGATGGGGTGTACGATCGTCTTGCATGACTCCATCTTTTGTTCGACGCGCTTTTCCTGATCCAAAAGCACTTCTAGCGCATTGCGATGTTGGGATATCCGCTCTTTTAGCCCGGCTAAAAGAATGTGGTCTTCACTTATAACACTCTCCAGATGAACGCGCTCTGCTTGAAGAGGAGGGTGGTTTGACTTCAACAGTTCATCCATCCGCAACTCTGCCAGAGTGGCAGATTCGACTATCGTGGCCTGAAAATGGTTCTGTCCGTGGGAACCGCATTTTAGGCAATGAATCGAGGCAGACATCTACTGTGATTTTCAGATCCTGGGACCGGCATGAGATGCAAATGTTTACCTAGGATCAAACGTTTCCTTGTCCGAGGTGAATGGTTTTATTCCGACGGATCGATGATTTGAGGGATATT